GACCCGGAGCGATCTTGAGACCGTCACAGACTAAGTCTCGGTACGCCTCGATTCTGCGAAAGTCTTCAGTGACCTTTTCACCCGCCAGCGCGTACACTTCCAGATCAGCGCGGACTGAATCCCAATCCCGCGCGTCCGCTCTGGACTTCCAGTACACGTCCATCTTCTTGGAGTACTGGTCGACTTCGCGCTCCAACTTGGTGCGCTCCTCTGGCGACAAGTCTTCACCCGACCTGACATCAGGCAGAGGCATGACGAGCGCAGGGGCCGGCGCTGCCCGCACAGCAGGAGCAGACGGAGTACCGGCCTCGGTCGAGGAGTAGGTGTTGACCGGGGCCACGCTGTACTCAACAGCGCCCCTAAGACTAGAGTCTTCAAGGGAGATGCAAAAGGCGGCCCCGAGAAGGTTATAGCCTTTAACCTTGCCCTTCGAATGAGGGTGGGCACAGCAGCCTAAAGCATCTGGCTTGGAGCAACGAAGGCCGACCTTGCTAAGCTCCAAGTCGGACAGCCAAATCATGCTGCCTTCGATGATGGGTGTTCCGCGGCCGTTGGCCCGCAGGAACTGACAGGAGTCAGCCCTGACGAAGGACCAAGGGAAGTGCGGATCGGCAAGAGTCCCAAACTCTGCTCTCCAAGCATCCAGCCTGCGTGGCTCCCACAGGCCTTCCTGCCCGGAGAGGTGCGCGGCGACATGAAAACGCCCGCTACCTGACGCAGCGGAGTGGAGAGTCAGGCGAAGCAAGGCTTCAGGGATCTCTTTCTGCCTCAGATTGACGACCAGCGCGCGCGGACTGAACAGCTCAATCGCGCTGCTGATGGCCTGCAAGTGAGAATCCTGCTCCAAGTCCCAGGCAATCCCATATGAAAGCGCCAGATGGGTAAAGCAAGGAGGCACACGGTGTCCTCTGAGGCGAGCTGCCTCCGACACCACAGGCGTGCCCCAAGAGACTTCCAGGACGTCGGCAACGCCGCCACGGAAGAACTTGGCAATCCAAGCTTCCACCTGAGCCATCTCATGGGACTTGCTGGAGGCGGCAAACACTGAGCCACCTTCGCAGAGGAGCTCGGCGAGAGCCTTGTCCACGTCCAGCAAACCAGGATCCTGAGAGCAGAGAGCCACAGCGGCATGCTCCTGCAAGGAATACCCGCCCTTATCGAGCTTCCTGGCAGAAGCCGCAGCTAGGACTCCATCACGATTGACATCAACCTTGCAGATGACGTCCTTGACAGAAATGCTTTCATGAGCCGGCCTAACGCCTTCGTGGGACGTGAGGGAACCGGATTCATCCAAGCCCCAGCCTCGGGAAGGTACCGGTGAACTCCGATCTGTGCACGAGCTTGGTCGACTTGCGTGACCTTGCCCAGGCGGCACACCTTAACCCCGCCACGGGCACCCCCGGTACACCGAGACGAGCTCGGGCGCTCAGGGTGCTGCTCGTCTTCATCCTCGAAGACGACGGGATGTTCGGGGTTAGGGCCCTCCGCATCAGGCGGAACAAGGATACAGTCGTCGGCATGAGCTTCATGAGGGCCTTAGCGGAAAGAGTCCCCCCCGATGGGTCAGGCACGGGCTCAAGTGGCCCCGCATGTCTACTACGCGCCAAGGGCCCGTCAGACCAGGCTTCCAGGGAACCCGACCCGCCCCTTGGGTGCGTTCCACACCACTCGGTCCGCAGGTTTCAGGTGATGCCTATTGGCTAGACGCGCCCGCGCTTCTGAGGACTTATCCGAGAGCTCCTGGAACTGCTGAAACTGTCCGCGAGCCCATTCAGAGACTGGCTCAAACTGCAAAGCAGCTCTGAGAACGTCCTTTTCAAGAGGAAGACTAAGACTCCAGGATCTTTCCATTTCCTTTGGGGTATAGCCAGGAACAAGCCACTCGGACCAGGAATCCAAGCTGCCGACTTGGCGGACGACCGCACCCAAGACCTTTTGGACCTCTTGGTGGACTCGCCCATTGGACCCCATTTCACAAGGTCGCAACGGAGCACTGAACTGCCACTCAGAGCCAAGCATAGTAGCCAGCTCTTTCATGAGGGCGTTCTTGAACTCCGGCCCGCGATCCGAGCGCACAAGCGCCGGGAGAGTCCTGCTTCTCAGGACGCAGCGGGTAAATGCCCGACGCACCTCGCTGTGAGTCAGGGACTTAAGAGGCTCAAGAAGGACTGCGTGACTCAGGCAGTCGAAGTAGGTCAAGGAATAGCGGTAGCCATCCCTGTCCTCACGATTCGGGCCTTCGCAGTCAACGCTAACTTCCTGCCAACAGGTCTCGGCGCTGCACTTGACAGCCCGTGCTTCGACCTTCGTTGGCCGAGCCCTTCCTTTGAGGCAAGCAAGGCACTTGCTCACCCAAAGCTTCACGTCAGCCTCAAGATCCGGCCACCACACGGCCCGCTCAAGGAGCTTGATGGTGACTTCGGCGGATCGATGCGCCCCCAGGACGCCGTCATGCATTGCGTTATAGCAGGCGCGATGCCAAGTGATGCCATTTGCGCCCGCAATCCCGTTAGGAACCACTGGGACGCTGACTGTCTGGCCTGTCCTGAGAGTCACATCTCGTTCCAACAGGCCATCCCCCGCTATGCGCATTGGCGGCCCAGGTCTTCGCAGAGAGCCCGCCAGCGAAGGATCCCTCCTCTGAGCTTTGTACCAGGAGGTACGTTAGCGGCGTAGGCAACTGAACCAGAACCATAGCACCTTCTTGGGAAACTGCAGTACCTCTCATCCATACACCTTCACTCTTCTTCTTATTATCGTCTTTATGCCAAACAAAAACCTTCTCCCCCTTAGTGTAAGGACCATCTGAAGGCATAACCCTCTTAGCCAAGTCCTTCTTGAGGTCTGCGGACTGTCGCGCTTCCAGATGAGCCTTCATGGCTATGGTCCCCCGGAAAAAATCTTTACCCGTTCGGCTCGTGGATCTGTTACTTGGGCCCCTCGGAAGACTCGGAAGACTTGGAAGGGCGTGTCTGTCCAGGACACCGCGGGTCTTCCCGAGGCACACCGCCCATTGACCCCGCCACGATTCCCGTGGACGCCGCAAGAAACGGCGGGCCGATAAGGTCGCCTTCCGCAAAGAGCAAGCAATGGCGGTCTCAGATGCTCTGGCCAAGTTTTTCTGGAGGTGTCCTCACACCCAGACGTGTGGGGAATGGAACCTCTTGTTTAGGAACAAGTGCTGGAAGTGCAGCTCAAAGAAGGGCCAAGCTGCCGAAGTGGTCCTCGGCGTTCCCGATCCAGCTCCGGAGGAACGCAGTGAATCCGAGGATTCCGAAGGCGACAGAGAGGAGCAGACCGCTGACCGGATTGCCGAAAGGCTTGGCCTTACCCAGTTCCTCGGCGCAGGAACAAGAAGCGCGCAGGCAAGGGACGCGAGCGAGGGCATCCGAAGTCAGAGGGAGCTCCCAAAGGCGGCCGTGGCGGCCGCGGAGGCGGCGCTGGAGGCGCAGCAGGGCTCGCTGCTGGTGTCATCGCTGTGTCGATGGTGCCACGGAGCGGCGCTCCTGGGCGTGTAGGACGCCCTCCGCTTGTCCTTTGCAGGGCGCCGCCGGGATGCCAGAGCTCCGCGAGCTTCGCGGCCTGGCTGAGGTGGTTTCCTACACGTGGGCCACGGCCCGGGTTGTGCGCAACAGGCTTATGCACATCCTGACGGGCAACGGCCCCAGCTCAGTTATCATCGTGGACGAAGCCATGACCACAGCTGCTGCTG